GCGAACATTACCCCACCCCCTCCCAGCACTGCCCCTCCATTCTCGCCATCCATGGCTGACCCCCCTCCCCGCCTCTGCACTGGCCTGGGACCTGCGGCTGCCACGCCACCGGGAAAGCACATCCTTGGTGAAGGGAGGCAGTCACTGCAGGGCCAGCAGGTCCACCGGCCATGAGCTCAGGTGAAGCGGGATGGGAAGGGGGTCGCCTTGCCAGCGCTCACTCTCCCGTGATGGAATGCCTGACTACACACAGTAACACAGTATCATAGGAAATAAAATGCCTGGGGGTAATGAGGAGGGTCATGCTGCTGCAACAATCCTCATTACCCCCAGGATTTTCATTTTTATCCCATCTGGGGTAATTTAACCCTGTTCCCTGACCACTGATCTATTGTATAGCTTCTTCTGAACATACTTTTGTATCAGACCAGTTTTATATTCTGATAGCTCAGCTGAGACAATGGTTGAGAGAGGGTAGAACAGTCAGCTTATGTTCGAGTGCACTGCTGCACACAGACCTTGTTTTCTGTACAATTTTCCTTCCTATCAATTGAAATGACAATTGATATTTGGGAATATATACTGCTTCAAAATTTTTCCAGTTCTTTGCTATTATTACACCCGGAGCAAAGATATCATAAACCAAATAGGAAAATTGAGGTCATGAGTTTATGAGAAGCTATGTTTAGTTTGGCAAAAGCTTAATGCTAATCTTACAGGGCACAAAAATGTGGGTCCCACGCACAAAACTCGGGAATGGGATACTAAATCTCACCGCTTCCATAGAATCATCCACAGACATGAGTGTCTGAAGCCGCTTTTGCTGTAACATGTTGGTGAATTCCATGTGAATAGGTTTCATAGGGCCAGTATACCTCATTATCCAGTGCTTGTCTGGGTTTGGAGCATAATTATAACTTGGTGTGCTAAAGAGAGACAGAAATAAGGAACAACTGTCAGCAAAATAAACATGGTATGCCACCCACACTGTTGAGGTAGTGTATATTCGGAGTTCATAGACGTACAGCACATGCAGGCAATGCAGTACATGACAAAGAATTCATGATCAACCCTTCAGTTTTACAAGCAAGCATCTATAACTCATTTACTCTTAGAATGCAGAATATTATGGAGTGCCTGAGGTGCCATCATTTTTTAAATCATTAGGTATAGTTGAAGGGATCCTTTAGCACTTACATTCTGTTTTTTAAAAAAAGCTACCAAATACAGAAGGAATCATGAAAGACACGGCAAGAAGTTGTAAAGAAAGCTTGGCTGAGTCCTAATCTTGTAGATGCTGTTGGACTATAGTTCCTGTAAGGCCTAGTCAGTATAAGACCTCTGGGTAGAATGGGCGGCATATAAATAGATAGATGATAGATAGATAGATAGATAGATAGATAGATAGATAGATAGATAGATAGATAGATAGATAGATAGATAGATAGATAGATAGATAGATAGATAGATAGATAGATAGATAGATAGATAGATAAAACCAATGGTAAGGGATGATGGGTGCTGCAGTCCAACAACACACTGTCCATCCTGCTTTGAAGATGTAGAAGTGAGGAAACAACTCTTAAAGGACCTCCCCCTCTACATCTGCAGTGCTTCAACCCTATAGTTTTATAATCTGATGCGGGATAGGGGAGATGTTGCAAGAATAGGGAGAGAGAAATGACCATTTGCCATCAGAATTCTCTTCAGATCAGGGCAGCACAATTAGGATGCCACCCTATGTGCCCAATTGTTGCAGTGTTACACCCCAGTTATTGTAAATTCTATTAATTCCTTAAAAACTGGGCAAACAAATGTGCTTCACTGTGGCTTGTTA